GAAGCCCAAAAGAAAGATGGGAAAAATATTTAAAATTATCAGGAAATATTAGTTATTTTTAGTTTACAGTAATAATGACCTAGGCTAAATGACATAGTAGTTATCATTTCCATATTTAACAACTCCATGCCCTTTTGTTAGGAAGTATTGAAATGTTATATTCCAGCGATGGCTAACCTTTCCAGACTGAATGCCCAAAATGTGCCCGCACCTGCACAAATACATGTGCATGTGCCCGAACCCCCAAAATGCAATGCACATGTGACTCCCTGCACATGTGTCCCATCCCGTGCATGCACATGTTCCTCCCCCATGTGTCCTTCACTCATGTGCATGTGGCCCCCTTACATGCCCCACCACCGTGCATGCGCGGCAGGGACCCGAAGACCAGCTGGCCAGCAGGAGGCAGGCAATAGCTCACGTGCCCACAGAGAGGGTGCTGCGTACCTCCTCTGGCACGCGTGCCATAGGTTCACCATCATGGTTATATCCCCAAAAATAAATTTGTCATTGACTGTTTCTCTCCTTGTATTGTATAACTTCCTGACTAATTTCTACCATTTTCCTAGAACATTACTTCAGCTCATATTCATTTGAAATTGTCCCTCTTTCATTGTCTCAATTAAATCCATCTTCATATAATAGATAATGTTCTCCAAAACTTCTCCAGCACATAGTATGCTCTAGCATCATTCACCTAAGAGGCTGAAGCAATATAAAGTTACCAAATGCTGAAATGATGAGAAGCAGAAAGCTTATTTCCAGTGTGAGAGGAAGGTACTGGAGACTTTGTAGGATCCTCTAATAAGTATTTCTGAAAGTTTTGATGATGCAGCAGTAGCAGCAATATTCAGCATTACTAATGAGTACCATAATTGAAACTGAAGAATTATTTTTACAAACTCTCAAAGCTATTACAGACTGCTGGGCATAAAACATGTGACCATTTTGAAAGTATTCAAACTTCAACATAATCATTTGACACATTGCCAAAGTATGTGCAGTGGTGCAATCAGGCAGCATATTATTTACATTCAAATTTATATTTAACCTGTTTTCTTGAATTGTACATAGTATGATTTCTTAATAACATTAATATTTGGAGTAATGATAATCAAAATATTGTATATGGCATCAGAATGTTACATGAACATTACACAGTTGTTTATTTCATCAAACTGTATTCTAATTCCTTTTCATGATTGGGCTTGCTATAGAACCAAAATCTAAAATAGGAAGTTTTAATGAATGTCTAATAAAATTGATTTTCTTCATCTTCCAATTTTCCTTATTTAGTCTTATCTTCCAATTTTCCTTATCTACTAAGAAGAAAATAAAAAAGACACTGTGGGTGGGGAGCACAGCTTTTGGTGATAAGAAGTCCTGTTACCTGTGGTTTGCACATTAAAGGAGTTAATGTTCTCCATCTGAACACTGCAAAGTGTGCTGTGCATCTGATCAACCCATTCCTTATTTAACACTCATGCTTCTTCCAGTTTCTTAATTGTTTCCATAAAAGTAGCCTACAAAAACATACGGAAATAATTTTGCTACTTAGATGAAAACTCATGGACGAAGAAAGATAAACTCATGTTTTCTCCATTCTTTTTCTTTTTGTCCAGTACCCAGCTGCCTTAATGAATTTGGGAGCTATTCTTCATCTCAATGGCAAACTTTTGGAGGCTGAATCAAACTATCTTCATGCCCTTCAGATTAAACCGGATGATGTCATCACACAATCAAATCTTCGCAAACTCTGGAATATTATGGAAAAACAAGGCTTAAGAACAACCAAAACATAATGCAGGGTTTTTAAAAAGTGTTAGTGATGTTTTTTTGGTTTTTTTTTGCAAAGAGTTTAGAAAAAAAATAAAAATCCAAAATAATTTTTGGAGCACTCTTCTGTTGAGTGCTCTTGCTAACTAAGCTGTAATTGTCAAAGGTTGTAATTGCTGCTAGGATAACCTACAGGGCTGCATTTTGATGTTTCAAATTGAAAATTAGTAAGGGGGTAAAATCTTTTTGATAAGTTTCATGAAGGACTTAATAATTATTGCCAAAATCCAGAAAAATTAAAAAAAAAACTGAAACTGGAGCACCGGAAAGGGATCCACTTTAGCATATTCACTAGGGCATATTAGTCATTCTCACTTTGGTCATTTTTATGTGGTTTCTGATAGAAAAGTCATGTTGGCCTACTGAGCATCCTTCCACTCAAACTAAGAATTTAGAAGAGGATAAAGACTGGCTTACATTTATTTTCTTAGGCTGTAATTCATTAAATGTACACTAAAACTAAATGTGTTTGCTATTTGTCTTGATATTGTATAACTCCACAGATCTGCCTATTGAGCTAATTTACATACTAGCTCAACTATTTGGGGGGGGGGATGAAAGATGTGGTTTCATGTCTAATCTTCACTGGCAAAAGCATATTGGTAACTTGTTTGGTTGGCTGGCTGGCTGATTCTCTGAAAGTATAGAAACAAGGAAAAATGAAGGTGACTTGGAATGTAGAATTAACCATACACAATAGTACTGAATGAAGTAAATTAAGGCAAGCTCTCTGTCATCTTGTAATGTACTAAGCTCCAGAGCCTGAATAGTCAATTCCTTTTAAAAGTACAGCAGGTTGCTGAACCTATACTGTACAGTAAATGCTTTGCCCTGGTTGAAAACAGGAGTGATCTGTACTTTAAAACAGAAGCTATGCACTGGGTAGGAAAACTGAATCTTGCTCACGATTTCAACTTTATTATGCTTTGTTACTTTAACCAGCTTGCCTTACTTCCAATATCAGATCAGTGTTAAACTGGAGAGCCATGTCCATAATAATGAAATATAAAGTATGGATTTAGGTTTATTCTTATCAACAATATGTATTTTATTTTTTAAAAAATCCATTGGTTCACAGGCATTTTAAATATGAACTGGATAGACATATGAAGAAGAAACATGAATTTTTCCTGCCTTTTAGTATGTTGAAAGCAAAGGAGAGAACAGTGTAGGTGAACATGTTACTAACATTGTTTTTGAAAATATGCAAACACTTGTAGCATGATTGCATCTGTACATGCTGTAGATTGCACCTGTGGCTTGATTACATGATGCATTGTGCATCAAGCACACACAAAGCAAACTACTATCTCCATTAAACTGATACCCAGGTTGCCAGTTTGTGTAAATATACTTTCAAAGTATGTTGTCATTGGATTAACAACAAATTTGTAGGCATGCATTTGGTGAATGCATTTTTGAAATGTTAGCAGCAGGATTTACCAGCTGTTTGTGAAAAATATTGTGCTATCTGCAAGAAACTAAAAGAGTTTAATATTTTAAATAAATATTTAGTGAATCCACAAGGTGTTAGACTAAAAGGAATTATGTGACTGACAATAGCTGCCAATTATTTTTGCATTTATTTAACTATTTATAGATGAAGAGAAAAATGCGGTCAGATTCTAACCCAATTCTGCATTATTTTCTTTGGTTTAATATTTCAACTTATTTAGCCTAATGTTATGATTTGCATAAAAGCATCATTTAAAAATTAGACCATTTACCAATTCCCTTTATTATTAACTAGGCAAATTACACTATAATTTCAAAATGGCATATATACCCATCAGTCATTTTTATATCAGTTTGACTGGCACCAAAGAGCTACTGTAGACATATCCAAGGGCTTGCTATGGCTGGCTTAATTTTTCATCTAGGAAACACATAGCCAATTCTAAATTCATACTTAAAGCCACTTTGAATTAAAATGGGAATCATGGGTGGTGGTTTCAGAAATAAGAGAGCTAGTTATGTGATCCTTTGCATCCTGGCACTATATCCTGCAACATCCATAGATTGAAGGTTAGATGTCTCTTAAGAATCCTCCCTATGTTAAAAAAAAGTGTTTGTATTGAATATCATTCCAGTGTTGCTACTTTGGAATTGATGCATTATTGAAGGTTTTTATTTGCCAACTGTAGCAAATAGTTATTAGCTAGGATTCCACAACTGTTGCTAGTCTTCTGGTTGCTTTTCATGGTGTGCTTTTAAATGTGTAAAGAATGTATTGGTGTTTAGAAAGAAACAGGAACACATTTATTCTGTGCATTTTAGTCACCCCAGTTTTCTATGTCAACTTATTAGGGAACAATGGGCTATTTTCTCAGCATAATTTATGATACTCTGAGTTTTCTTGATTTTCCAGTAGGAGTACCATTGTTAGAAACATTTCATTATTAGGCACCACCTTCTAATTTCTGTTTTCTTACATTGGCCTATTTTATTTTAGAGCTTTGTGCAGATGAGTGACCTTTCTATTTTTTCTTTCCAGTTGCAGTTCCACAAACTGTTTTATGGGATAGAAAAACTAAAATATTAACCAGTGAAATTCAATATTTTTACTGTTATGCATTCAGATATGGATAAAATGCAATGTTAGCTACTGTCTATTTAACTGAACAATGTACTGTTGCATCATTTTCTCAAAACTGTAAAACCAAATGCTGTATTAATGATGAAGATTGAATTTTTAGCATCATCCTATGCATGTATACTCAAGAATAAATCCAATTAAATTCAGAGGGTCGAACCCCATGGAATTGTGTATAGGATAGCAATTTAACTGTATTAGCATGACATTCTGAAATGTTAAACTTCAGCATCAGATGCAAGGTCAACTTCCTAGTTGTAACATTTCACTTTTCATTATACCATCTCCCTTTTTATGTTCTTTATTCTTAATGACATTTCTTATACACTAGATTTCCATGAAGTTGTACAGGAGTTTTGCTTGTCTCAAATTGAACAATGACAAACTGTTAAAATAAAATCATGTTTTTCCATGCATTTTCAGTATAGGGTTAGGCTTTATATCTCTCAATTTTCAAATAAGTTTAAAATTGTTGTCTCTGCTCAGGGATTTGTGGTGGATATTGCAGACAGTGCTTAAAAATAAAAGCACAAATTTACTAAATTAAATTTTTATTTTTTGAGAAAGCATATTTGTATAAATTATCAAGATTTGTAGGGTTTCCTTTTTGTAGAAATAATTGTTTATGTGCCAGATAAGAAAATCCACTTTGTTTTCAGTAATAAATGATTGATAACAAATACACCGAATTCAATGTCATCTCTTATTGAATATTAATTTTATTGAATATACTGTATATTAACTATCATAATAAAAAAGTAATAGCATGTTTATTTTTATTGAAAATGGCTGAATTGAATGTACTCTATTAAACCATAATATAGTTTCTTTGATTTTAGTTTATAATGATGTCTGAACCCTCATAAACTATTTTCTGTAATTTGAAAATATGGGTGAACTAAGGCATATGATAAATCATGGTTCAAACAAAACATGATTTATAAACTCTGTTACACACTAGCAATTGTGCTAGACAATATTTCTCTGCATATTCTAGACAATACTCTCTAGTGCTGTCTCTTATTTGTTCCTCGCTGTTCCCTGAAAAAGATTGAAGATTTGTCCCTTTTTACACTTCATGGGGAAAAAAAACCTGTGAATAATTGGGTTGTACTTGTTCACAAGATTCTGGACATGCTTCTTAATTAAGTGTTTCAGAAAATAGCTTTAATTAGGATTTAATTCAATGTCAAAATTGTAAAAGAAATATGTTTTCCATTAATTATGATAAGGAAATCCAGTGGATTTAATTTATTTTTTAATCGAGAAGAAGATCCTGGATAGCATCACTGATGAGGTGCAGTCATCTTGATATAGCTCTAATTCTGACACAGAGATCCTTATTTACTGTAGTTTGGGGTGCAATGGGAACCCCCACCCCACCCCCGATTTAGCCCCTATCTTTCATTTAGAATGTTAAAAGAAAGAAAAATGAAGGCTACCAATATATGTTAACGTAATGACTGGACCTAAAGCATATGATGGTCAGATTCAGTGTTAACTTTTGGTCTATGAGATTTCCAAAGTTTTGTATTTGTTTTGTTTTGTTTTTCCATGTGGATGTGAAATGACAAACTTGTCTCTGGATTAATGTGTTTTTTGTTTTTGATCTTTCGGAATATAATTGATTAAAAATAAGTGCAATAGTATTTAAAGGGATTTGCAACGTACCTGTTAGAATGTCATTATGACAACATATCTGAAATAAATATACAACACAAACAAAAATAAAATAAAATAGTTTTACTAAATAGATACCAATTCAAAGTGGTGAGAGAATGAGTCGCTTAGTATAATTACATGCCAGGATAGCTAAATCTGATAACAAAAATAGTTTTGTTTTTTGTAGTGTGAAATAGAATTTCTTTTTTTATTTGCTTCATACTATCCCTTATTCTTAATTTTTATGTTTATTGTTAAAATATCAAAATATAAAGAAAGAAGAGAAAAAAGTAGGATGATAGAAAAAAGTGAGGCTTTTACATTTGAATTAAACAGAAAAAAGAAAAACATGTTTTTAGTAATATGCCCCCACTTTCCTTCCGTTTATATTTCCAACACTACATTGCATCAAGCATCAGTAATTGTTCGCTTCCTTATGAGTCTTAAAAATCAAATTTCAGATGTCTAAACCTGCCTTACTCTGTGACATATTGTATACAAGGGAGCCATTTCTTCTTGAATTGTTAAATGTCTGTTGTGGATATATGCTGTCAGTTTTGCTGTTACAGCATATTATCCACTGTTAGTCACCCATCTGATAGCATAGACAAGGTTTCTCATTTTAGTATCATGTACAAAATGAATTGATTATCTCCCTCCATTGTACTATCTTTGGGACTGCATTTTATTCTAATACAAAGCTAAAATCATAAATATTTTGCAGCAATAAGTCTTGGTAAAGCTCCATTACGCAAAGGAAGGCTATTCTTGATAGAAGTGCTAATTCTAGCTTGTTTCTTTGGGAAGATCATGCCTGACCCTAATAACATTTGATCATATTAAATTGCTAGTAAAACTGAGCCGTTAATGAATCAGAATCATTCATGCCAGACCAATAAAGCCAATTATTTTGAAGGGAAAAAAATGAAAAACACTCATCAGCATTCTTGAGATGATAATCAATCAAGTCTGCCCTTCAAAATATTCATCTCATGACTGGGTACTACATGGCAGGCATAGCAATCAGATTTTTTTGGGTGATGTTGTAAATGGGAATCTTTTCTTTTCCCAGGCAACTGTCATAATCGATCAAGCATCTCATCATTAGCCAGCCAGCCAGGATATTGTCATGGTTGTCTAAAAAGAAACTATATTCAACTTTGCAGGAAGCAATACAGTACTAGGTCAAATATTCTATCAGGACATTTCAGAAATATAATACTATATTTTGCCATAATAGGAACATCCAAGACAGTCCACAGAGAATGCAAATAATTTTTTTAATAAAGATAAACCAAATTCAGAATAAATTTTATGCAGATAATAAATTTCCAGTTCAGTTTATAAGCTCCACAAAAAAGTCACAACATGTGAACCATGCTTAAATGTATACCTACACATCCGAAAATCATTAAGGGTCATTTGTATATAAATAAAAATCTTTCCATGTTTGTTGCAACAGAACAAAAATATTTAAGGACACAGTACATACTGTAGTATGTCATACCAAATCCACTGGCTGAGTGATTACTACTCCTTTCTATCAGAAGTGATTCTTGCCTTAGGATAATAATGGTCCAGGCATTCTTGATCTATTCCCTAATAGTTATGATTATGCTAGGCATAATTATATTATGTTGCACTTGCTGGAAGAAGAAAAGGAAGAAGGAGGGGGAGGAGAAGGAAGAGAGGAGATTAGGAATAACAAATAGCAAGTTCTGTGTGATAAGTTCTGGGTTTCCTTTAGTAGTTTAGGATTCATACAGTCCAAAACCTCTTTCATCTTCTGGATGTGTTCAGTTACAACTTCCATAATACCAAGTTACTTATTGAGATAATTTTTTGGAGATTGCAATCCAGTGCATTTGAAGAACTTTAAATGAAAGGTGACTACAGGGTTCTTGGAATTCCCTGAACTTGGTTGTTTCATTAGTTAACTAAGTAACATCAACAGTGTTTGTAAGTACTTATAAGTAAAACAAAAAACCAAAAACCAGAACATATCTTCTCCAAAAGCGAAAACAAACAACTTGGGATCAATACCAGACAATCCCAATGCCAACCCTTAGCTTTGATCTCTGGCTGGGCCTGCCCACCCGCACGTGTGCTAAGCTATCCATTTATAACTAACATTCTGGCTCGTTCTCTCTGCCTTCGCGCCCTGCTGAGTTTTGCACCGCCCCTGCTTTACTCACTGGAGCTGCCTGAATTGATTGCTTGCTTCTTTGAAGCTCCATTTCACTCCCAAAGGGACATGTGTGAGCAAAGCTAGTGCGCGTACGCTCACAACCAGCAAACCACTTGTGACCGTAAGTGCAGCCCACCTCTGTAATACAATCAAGTGGAAATCAATACCTTTATCAGGGAACATCCCTTCAAGCAGATAATAATAAAATAAACAATCAAGAACCAACAAAGAAAAAAATCCATTCTCTCTCTCTCTCTCTCTCTCTCTCAGTCTCTCTCTCTCTCTCACCCAAAGTGCGCTAACCCTAAACCCAAAATGCAGTGCGAGCTGCCCCTGCACCCCCCTTGCCCATTTTTGGCTTCCAGATTGCTGCAGGAGGCTTTCCAGGCCCAAAATGGGGCATGGGGTTTGCGTGCATGAGTGCAAACCCCCAAAATGCAATGTGAGCACCCCGTGCATGCCCCTCCCCCATGCATGCATATCAGAGACCAGCTGGCTGGTGGGAGGCATGCGTACATGCGCAGTGGAGCTAGGCTGGGGCAATGGCTGGTGTGCCCGTAGAAAGGGCTCTGCATGCCACCTGTGGCACACATGCCATAGGTTCACCATCACGGATCTATCCTATCTCTCTGTCTCTTTCTGATCATCAGTTAATACAAATATTTTATGTATTTTGTCTTTGTTGAATCTTCCTCTTTAAGAATTTAGAATAGAGTCTTGTTCTATTTTAAAAGACAATTTGGAAATTATAAGATACATAGAGCCATTTTTTTTTCTGCTCATGGACAATCTCAGAAGATGAAAGAGGAGAGCATCCTGACTGTTAGTATACTTACAATGAAGCTTCATTTTTTTCTGCTCCAACCACATTAATATCAAAAATAGGAAAAGCGAGGACAAAACAAATTGTTTTGGAACTATTGAGTCAAAGCTTCAGTTTCTTGGAAAATTACAACTTGCAACTATTCAGAGGGAAGAAATCTAATGAAAAATAAGTAGAAAAGGAAAAAAATGCAGACATGTGCTCCTCCTATCCAATCAGCCTAGCAAGATTCAGTTTGTGTTCCAACTCCACAGATTGTCCTACCCATTTGTAATATGGTTCTACCTCTCCTAAACTCAGTGGGTTATTCTTGTCACTATATATTTTATGGGAATAGCTATTGCTTTCATATGCAGACATTCAAATGTATTCAAAATTATTTTGCATAGTTTCCCAGGAGAGAAACATTTTGTTTCAAGGGCAACTCAATTAATGTGGAATTGTAGCATTGTGTATAATAGTCTTGGGGCTAAATAAGTTATTTTTCCAAACTTTGATGTTGATGACAATTTTAAAATGTAGTGCATTTTATTACTTTGGTATGGTTCTAGTTGAAGTATGAAATTTCCAGAAGTATACAAGGAAATTAATGCAAGGCAACCTATTGTTTCTTTCTTTAATGGAAAACCATTATTTCATTCTTCTGGTTTTTGTCCTCTTTGTGAAGACATCACTCAAGCAAATAGCAATGCATTTTTTTTCAACGTTTACAGATGAAGGAATTCAAGTTTCCTTTTAGTGCTGTTACTGTATGTTCTGTATTAAGTGAGAGGGAACTTATGATGCCAAAAAGACTACAATCTAGGGATTCGCAACAAAGCTTGCAAATATCTGGGGCGAGTAGGAAATAAGTTCAACATTTCAATTTTCCTGTTATTTAATTCATTATTTAATTTATCTCTGCCCATAATTCAATGCTTATTCTTTTAGCATAGAAATAGACTAGTAATGATGTTATATAGATCATCAGATAGATGGACAAAAAGTTGGATAGATAGATA